TAATATATTTTGACAAATAATTTTTGTTTTTTTGGTACCAGGAATGGAACTCAAGACCTTGCACTTGCCAGGCAGGCACTGCGCTGATAAGTAAGTCTTATGCTGTTCCAGTAATATACTGGAAACTTAGTCTTCACTTACGATAGCATTTTATTCTTTCACATTTGGTATCTTTTTTGGGATATGAGAAGTTAAGGGCATCCTTCCTGAGTGAACTCAGACATTTTCAAATTTGGCAGAGTATTTTAGCAATTATTAAACACATAATACTGTTACTAAAGCACAAATAAGCATACATGTAATTAATATAAATGTATTTTCTTCATATTTGCCATCAGATTTAAGCTTTTTTTTTGTTGTTGTTGTTTTGTTTTTATGATAGGGTCTTGCTGTATAGTTCAGGCTGCTCCTTGAACTTGCGGCAGGCAATCCTCCTGCCTCAGCCTCCAGAGTACTAGGATTATAGGCGTGCACTACCACGCCCAGCTCCAGATTTAAGGTTTGAAAATTTTAGTCTTGAGGTGGTTTTTTTTTTGGTAGTTGTGGGGACTGAACACAGGACCTTACATTGCTACCTCTGAGCTATAACCTCAGCTCAAAAGTTTAGTGTTCAATAGCAACAATACGTCACTGTAATTTCAACAAAAGAAAAAGGATACTTACAAGTGGGAAATCGGTAACATAGGCATCACACATTACTATTTCAGGCGGTTTGTGGACTATATTTGTATAGATTATCATGACATTTGAAAATTCAGCAGCAAATCCTAACTGAATCTGAACACCACATTGAAATTTAAGACACATGCTTTCTGGAAGTTCTGAAAACAAAATAAAAAACAAAAACAAAAACAAAAACCCAGTAAGAACAACTTAGAAAACAGTAAAGTGTTAAGTTTTCTGATAAATAAAAAATATCCTGGGATACAAATGAATGACCGTTTTATATCTGTATATAGAAAATAGGCTAGATATACAGCTACTTTCTCTTAATTCAATGAGAAGAAAGATTTGTACTAATAGTATTTGGACAGGATATCATGTAAGCATCCTGTACTATGAATAACCACTAAGAAGATAACAATATGCAATGCATTGATTACTGAAATTCTCCTACTAATTGGTTTTGAAACTGTCTCATTGCTGTTTCTCAATAAAATTATTTAAAAAAAACTCCCCAAACAAAAAACAATCCTTCTTAAAACACGTACACACTTCCTGCAAGCAGGCACAAGGGTATGGCTCCATGACTGCACATTTGCCCAGTGCAGTAACCACTGGGTTCCACGGCCAGCACTGACAGAAGCAATTCTTGTCTCGAAAACAAAGGAAGCAGTTAAAAATATATCTGTGATTCTATATATATTTGTAATTACCACTATGAAAATTATATATACAGATGGACAAGAACTGTAGTAAATGAAAAATTGGATTTGGTCAAGAGAATGAGCACTTTTGTTTTACTGGGTATGTGGTTTTTTTTTTTTTTTTTGTATTTTAGGTAAAAGTATAGTGTATTCAGGGTATCACTACTAGATAGAACTTGTAGTGATCCACCTGTTTAAGCCTCCCCAAGAACTGGGACTGCAGGCATGCGCCACCATGCCCAGTCTCAATTGTCGTCTCAAAGCACCCTGGGGGTGCAAATCCCCAGCCCATGCACCTGCTTGCTGGTACTTTAATCCGCTGAGCTATTTGGCCAGCCCTAAGAATTTTTAATCAATGTATTATCACTATAGTCTTCATTAACTTTGATCTTCTACTCTTGAAAATCTGTAACACTTCTGGGTTTTATCACTGTTCTATCATAGTTAATATGTCATGTACTTAAAACGGCATTGTTGG